CAAAAAAGATGTGGACAGGCTGGAGAGGGTCCAGAGAAGGGCCACAAAGATGATCAAAGGACTGGGAAGCCTGCCATAGGAGGAAAGGCTGAGAGAACTGGGTTTGTTCAGCCTTGAGAAAAGAAGGCTTAGGGGAGACCTTATCACCGTGTTCCAGTATTTAAAGAAGATGGAGACTCCCTTTTTACAAGGAGTCACATGGAAAAGACGAGGGGTAATGGGTACAAGTTACTCCTGGGGACATTCCAGTTGGACACAAGAGGAAAGTTTTCCACAATAAGAACAATCAGCCATTGGAATAATCTCCCCAGGGAAGTGATGGATTCCCCAACATTGGACACTTAAGATTCAGCTGGACAGGGTGCTGGGCCAGCTTGTCTAGACAGTGCTTTTGCCAGGAAAGGTTGGACCAGATGATCCTTGAGATCCTTTCCAACCTGGTATTCTATGATTCTATGATTGTAAGCACGAGCACAAAGCACTGTTTTGCACAGGCTTGGCAAAATGGTGGACCAAATCTTTAGGCAGCGTAAATCAGCATGGCTCCATCGATTTCAGAGGTGCTTTCCTGAGACTAACTGCTGGTGTATAAGTCAGCATGTATTTATAAAAAAGAACAAAACAAAAACAACCCACATCACCTTGCTGTCTGCTGAAACAGGTGTAGATATTCTTTAAGCAGATCCACTTAAAGGACACTTTGAATTCAATGTAGAAATGGAGGCAACAGAGGAATAAGTGATTAATACAACATAGCTAAGCCATTAAATCCCTATGCTCAACTTACAGTAGGGCCTTGATTTTGCCAGCATCCAGGTCCCCTCCTCATCCCTGAGCCCAACCTTTGAGACAAAGACTTTTAGAACAGGTAGGAAATTCTTCCAACAACAACAACAAAAAAATCTCATCTCCTTACAGACGCACTAGAAATTGCAACAAAACTGATGCTATACAAGTTTCTTAGCTCTCACTGACTGCATAAGTGGGTGAAGCACTCCAGGCACCTGGGCTCATGTCTGACTGCATTGGGCAACTTCCCCCCCCCATCCTGGGCGTACGGGTTTGTGTCTAACTTGATTCACATTCACTTAGCAGAAGCAGAGCAGCCACAACACAAGACTAAGAGATCAAAACTCTCAGACAAGGGATTAGGGCATTTGCCTTGGATAGAAGTAGCAGAAGTGTCTGTAAGCTCCAGATCTACACAATTCAGAGCAGGTCCCTCAGCCTGGATTTCTCAAACCCGACAAGTGTCCCAGCCACTAGAATACTGACTACCTTAGAAAGGGAAAAATTTTCAGAACAAGAATTTCAGAAGTGCTTGTTTTCATTGCAATGCATTTAAAAACAAGTGCACAATGTCAACTTTAAAAAAAAAAGGGGCGGGAGGGGATTCTTCTTTACCAGCCCTCCATGGTCTGGTGGTATCAGCACCGCAAGCCTAAGCGCAAGCTTTGCATCAGTGAACCCACTGCCTGCTGTCTCCTCATCCACGCTCCTGCCTAGCTCCACAGCTGCTTGTGGAGGAGCTTTGGACCTTCTCTGTGGTTTTTGGCTGCTGGCTGGGGCTGTAAGGTGCACACTCAGACTGCAGGGGCACAAGGGCTTGCAAAGTCCCTGGGCAGGCCGCATGCCAGGGACAGGCTCGGGTCTGGGCTTAAACTGCCAGGCACATCCTCAGGGGTCCCCTTTCAAGAGCCAGTCTTGGTCGAGAAGGCAGCAGCCTGACCTCCTAGATCACTGTTTGAGCTGCAGCGATCTTCAGATACCTCGTCTACTCAAAGACAAGAAGGGATCCATTGGCTGCTACTCATCTCCCCCTGCACTTGATCCACTCAGGATACAGCCAAGAGCTACAACATGCATTTTTAGCTCACTCTACCAAAATATCTACTTTTGGTCAGCACTGTTGTCACTGAAGATGCTGGCCCCCAAAAAGGTGTTGGGAGCAGAGGTAGGAACAGACAGTGCTGCTCCTGGCCCTGGCATGAGACAATGCTTCCTTTTCGTTCTCCACATCCCTCTCTGACCATGGTCAGAGACTTCTAATATTGCTGTTTCCAAAAGAAGTTTTCGCTCTACCCAGTTTGCATTCTCACACTGACCTATTCAGCAGGGAAATATCTTAATAATGGTGTTATTAATTTCTGGGTTAAGAGATTGCAATTTAATAAAAACAGGAATTCGGTCCTGCTTAGAAATCTCTAGCAGGAGGAACATGTTCTCATTCAACCTGTGGCATCAAAAGGAATAGATAATGTAACTGGTGAAATACTATGTAAAGGCAATGTGTTGCTGATAGTCTCAAGCATGCCACAGCGTGCAAATCTTTACAGAAAGACAGGCTCATGAAATCAAAGGTGGGAGGTAAAAACTGCAAATAAATGTGGGTAAAGCACAAATGGGGGAATGAGAAGACCAAAGTTGAAGACCTTCATTGACCTTCTTGAGCTCATGGTTTAACACTCTTCAGACTCAGTTTCCCTGTAGCAAAACAAGAATAAAGCTAGATTTCTTCAGGGGCACAATTTGCTTATATTTCCCTATAGAAATACAAAATAGATAAACAGCAGTATTCTGATAACTTAAAATACCACACACTGGAAATGCTTTTGTCTTGTTAAGTTATGTTAAAATGAAGTCTTAGGAAAACCCCAGAGGGACACTGAGTTTAGCAGCGTCCTGGTTTCGGCTGGGATAGAGTTAATTTTCTTCCTAGTAGCTGGTACAGTGCTGTGTTTTGGATTTAGGATGGGAACAAAATTGATAAGGCACCGATGCTTTAATTGTTGCTAAGCAGTGTTTATACTAAGTCAAGGACTTTTCAGCTTCCCATACTCTGCCAGCGATGAGGTGCACAAGAAGCTGGGAGAGGGCACAGCCAGGACAGCTGACCCAAACTGGCCAAAGGGATATTCCATACCATGTGACGTCATGCTCAGTATATAAGCTGGGGGAAGTTGGCCAGGCAGCAGTGACCACTGCTGGGGGACTGGCTTGGCATCAGTTGGCGGGTGGTGAGCAATTGGATCGTGCATCACTTGCTTTGTATATTCTTCTATTATTATTACTATTTTACTTTATTTTATTTCAATTATTAAACTGTTCTTATCTCAACCCATGAGTTTTCTCACTTTTACTCTTCCAGTTCTCTCCCCCATCTCACTGGGGCGGGGGAAGAGAGTAAGCAAGCAGCTGTGTGGTGCTCAGTTGCCGGCTGAGGTTAAACCACAACAAGCAAGTCAAAAGGAAGGCCTTTCAAATCTCTTCTGTATGCATAAAGACATGAGGTTCGGAGAAAGCTCTTTAAAATTCCATAAAGCCAAAGAAAACAAACAGTCTGGTGCTTGGAGGAGACGGGGATAAGGTTCAGGTTGGAAACAGCAGGTGCAATTAACATTTCTCTCTGTCATATAAAGAGAACACTAACATCCTTTTTGCAAAGAAAAGGAGGGATTCAGAACTCCAGCCCAAACTAAGGGCTTAGACTATATAGTCTAGATTAAGTAGTCTAAACAGCCCCTCCTTCATGCCCTACAGAACAGTTCCCATTAGCTCACAAGTGTGTGATATTTTTCCGTATTCCTAAAATCGTTCAGGCTGAAGGGACACCTCAGGATGTCTGCAGTCCAACGCCCTGCTCAAAATGGAGTCCAAGCTGAGTTCAGACTAGGTTGCTTAGGACTTTACCCATTTGGTCTTAATAAATACAAACAGATTGCTCTTTCTCCATCTTCAGTGGCTAAAGCAAGTTAATATTCGTTCTGACGAGAGTCCTGCAGTCATAGCAAGCAACTACAAACCAGAAGGCACCTTATTAAGCCAAAAGCATGACTGTGTAGTGACACTGTAAATGAGCACTTGCTAACAAATTGCCCCAGGAACAGGCCAATGCAGTTAGAGGAAAAAGCAACAACAAAAAAATCCATCCTGCATTCCACATAGAAGGTTAATATTTTAATCAACAGTGTTTTGTCTTCCTTAAATAACCTATCTTTCTGTCTTTTGCATTTGGAACTTCGTGGTAATGTACTTCACCTGACCTCTAACTCCCTCAACAGTCATTTAGCAAAAGAAGTTCCTGTAATAAAAGTCTCTGATCAAAGAAGCAGCCAAAGAACTGGGCCAGTGCCTATGTACTTGATAAAATTTAAAACATCAGGCTAAATTTCACTCTTGTTACACCATCACATCAGTCAAGTTTAACAGCAGGGGCTCAGCAGTAACATTAAGGCTAATCTGCCCAGTGAACATTAAAACGTTTCTTAGGTATTTGCCAGAAACAGAAGTTTTGCCAGCCTGCTTCAGCTGCTGGAAGATCATGATTTATCCCAGGTGGTAACTCAGCCCAAGATGATGGAAAAGGTTGCTTGGACACACCTGCATTCAATTTTTGTTTCAAAGTTTCACAAAAAATCTAGTTTCATTGCAATACTGAAAACCTCATCCATGCCAGCTCAGTTTTAGTTTTAACACTGGATTTACCCAACTCAAAAGCTGAATCCTCCAGAAGATGAAGTCAACATAAATATCTGTAAGCACCAAAAAATACGAACATGCTACTGTCCT